AATCTGTTAGTCTAGAAGGTGCCACAGGTCTCCTCGTTGCTTTTGCAGATTCAGACTAACACAGCTACCCGTCTGATACTTATCTATTTGTACATCTCCTTTTTCAAATGTATGCCTTTTCCTCCAGGCCAGCAAGAAGAATTTAATACCGAAAACAGCCTTTTAACACCCATATAAATAGACAGCTTACCAAAGAAAATGTGTTTCCTTTGGAAACGGTGGGTTTTTATGGAGTCTCACGTAAGAATGGCCACACTGGCTCAGATCAACGGTCCATTTAGCCCTGTATCCTGTTTTCCAACAGCGGCCAATGCCAGGTGCCAAAGAGGGAGTGATTAGAACAAGGAATCATCAAGTGATCCCTCCCCTGTCATCCGCTCCCAGCTTCTGGCAAACACTAGGGACAGCTTGAGCATAGGGCTACATCCCTGCCCATCTTGGCTCACAGCCATTGATGGGGCTATCTTCCAAGAATGATCTGAGTGCATTATTCAATCTTCCAGGGGGAATTTCCATTTCAGTGATGGCTTCCAAACACGCTAATTTATTTGAGATTCTAAGTTACAGCCCAAGGCGTACAAACGGCATTAAAAATAACGGAGCCGAGCCAGGGTTCTGAAAACCTCCTATAGAGATCACGAACCTGGCTTCCAGCTGTTCATAAATACAGGTCAAGATGTTAAGTTGGATGATCAAATGCAGAAGCCACCCAAAGTCAGATCCTGTAGCGGGTGCTAACCACCTGGGTTCCCCAGACTTCAGTGGAACTATGTGAATTCTTATTTATTTTTACTCCAACCGAGAATCTGGCCCAAATACTCAATGATGCTGCTACCCACATCATTGGGTTCTGAGTTCTTCTAGTTTGGCTCTGTATTCGCTAGTGCCCATACTAGAAAATTTCCCCCTATGCAGAAAAAAAGCAAAATGCATCTGTATTGCTTGAGTCCCACTTAAACTCTATTTGAAAGACTTAAAATAGCACACAGTTTGTGTGCCCTGTCCGGGCAAGAGGGAAATTTGCCCCATAGCATGAGGGATGTGGAAGATAGTCTGACCTGCCAGCTAACTCCCTTCCAATACACAACTGTTTTGCAGGGAATGTTGAACTGCCAAATACGGAGGCTCTTACAATACAGGCTGAAGCTGGATGTAGGACACAGCTAGGATAGGATATAGGTTCCGATGTCCTAGGGTATTAGAAAGGCCTTTCCTTCAGTGGAGACAACAGGGATAGAGTTAGGTGGGAAACAGACTTATTTCCAGTCTACGGATTGTTAATCCTGTCTGTCCTCGTACTGTTTTGTCTTATTGCACAAAATTACTCTGTCACTATATAAACCCACAAGAATGTTTCCAACCCATGGAGATAACTCTGTGGTAAGAAACATTCCCTGCGTTGACATAGGAGAAGAACTACATAACTTAATTTGGCCTTGATTCTGGTCACAAATGAAAAACTCCTGGTTTGCTCAGTACGTAGGATCCCTTAAGCATCCTACTTGGTTGCCATGTCCCATAGAAAGTAACATAACTTCTGGTTCCAGATGCACAAAAGGTCTCTGGTTGCAGTTAATGAGACTTTTGATGGAGGATTTGCACCTGACTGTGTACTGAGTGTCTTTCCCTGGTGGTATAAATCCTCTGCAAGGGAAAATGAAAACTTGTCAGGGATAGAGGTGAATTGAGAGAAGCAATTGGTTATTCTATGAATAATGGTGGCTAATTTGTTTGACACAACAGGTCTATGCAGAGATGAGATTTGAGCTCAGTTTTTGCCCTCAGATATAGACATCAAACTGCTACTGAGACCCATTTTACAGATGGAGGAAGTATGGCACAGAGAGGTAAAGGGTCTTGTTTTGAGAATGGGAAGTGACTGTCTAGGAAGGAGTATAGCGGAAAGGGATCTAGGGGTCATAGTAGACCACAAGCTAAATATGAGTCAGCAGTGTGATGCTGTTGCAAAAAAAGCAAACATGATTCTGGGAGGCATTAACAGGAGTGTTGTGAGCAAGACTCGAGAAGTCGTTCTTCCGCTCTACTCTGCGCTGGTTAGGCCTCAGTTGGAGTAGTATGTCCAGTTCTGGGCACCACATTCCAAGAAAGAGATGGAAAAAATCAGAGAAGGTCCAGAGAAAAGCAACAAAAATGACTAAAGGTCTAGAGAACATGAGCTATGAGGGAAGATTAAAGGAACTGGATTTGTTTAGTTTGGAAAAGAGAAGACTGAGAAGGGACATGATAATGGTTTTCATTTATCTAAAAGGGTGTCACAGGGAGGAGAGGGGAAAATTGTTCTCCGTGGTCTCTGACGACAGGACAAGCAGCAATGAGCTTAAACTGCAGCAAGGGAGGTTTAGGTTGAACATTAGGGAAAACTTCATAACTGTCAGGGTGGTTAAACACTGGACTAAATTGCCTAGGGAGGTTGTGGAATCTCCATCACTGGAGATATTTAAGAGCAGGTTGGACACACACCTGTCAGGGGTGGTATAGCCAGTTTTTGATCCTACCATGGGGGCAGAGGACTGGACTCACAGACTATGTCTAGACTGGCATGTTTTTCTGCAAACGCAGCTGCTTTTGCAGAAAAACTTGCCAGCTGTCTACACTGGCCACTTGAATTTCCGCAAGAACACTGACGATCTCATGTAAGATTGAGACACTGTGGTATTGTTTGAGACCATTGATTGAGACTGTAGACAACGCAGTATTGTTTTGCGCAAAAAAGCCCCAATCGCGAAAATGGCGATCGGGGATTTCTTGCGCAAAAGCGCGTCTAGATTGGCACGGACGCTTTTCCACAAAAAGTGCTTTTGTGTAAAAGCATCCGTGCCAATCTAGATGCTCTTTTCTGCAAATGCTTTTAACGGAAAAACTTTTCCGTTA